GGGGGGGCCCCCCCCCCGGCCCTTTGGGGGGGGGGGGGGGGGGGGGGGGTGGTCTCGGTCGCAGCCGTACTTCCCGAGAACGCGCCTCCCCTCTCCCTCGTTGTGGTGCGACCCGCCCTATCTCCCGCCCGTACTTCTGTGCGTCTGAAGCGGGCCGTGGGAGGCAGGCGCGTGTGTGGCGCGAACGGCCCCTCGTCCTCCCGACAGCCCTGAGGCGACCAGGCCACCCGCGCTAAAAAGAGGGGGGGGAGAGAAGGCTTCTCCCCGCCATCCCGTCCCTCTGTCTGAGCAGCGCGAGAAGAGCCTTCGCGGCCGGACTCGGAAGCGCGGCGACGCGCGGTTGCCGAGGCGACGGCCGCCGGGATCTCGCCCACCCCTCCCGCCAAGATGGCGGCCGGCGCTCCCTCTCCTCCCGCCCCACTCTGCGTGGCCGAGGAACGGAGCGGGCACTGCGCCGTGGTGGACGGGAGCTGCCTTTACGTGTGGGGAGGATACGTGGTAAGGGAGGCGGACCGGAGAGGGAGTCGAGCGGGGAGGCCCGCCCGCCGCCTCCTCTCCTCAGGCCGCCTGAGAGACTGACGGACTTTTTCGCTCTCGCCTCAGGAGGGACCGAAGCGGAGGGAGGGGAGGGGAGAGGGGCGGAGGCTTCCCTCGAGGCGGACGCTGATTGGCTGCGGGGCGGGGCGCGCTCGAGACCCAACGGTCAGCCTGCCTCTTCCTCCCCCCCCCCGTGGCTTTAGATATTAATTAGTGGTGTCAAAAGGGGGAACAAAACGGAGTTTGAGTTGGGGGGCACCACCCTTTAAGCCCAACGGTTTTTTTAAAATTATTTTTTTATTATTTTCTCAAAGGAAAATAAAGCTGGGATACAGAAGGGAAAAAGGGGAGGGGGGGAAATATAGATTCCACAGGTTTGTTAAATACTATGAATTGTCGTCTACAACAAGTAGAATCCAATCTATTACCAAATGCATTGCATAATTCAAATATACAGACAATGAACAAAGCATCAGTCAATCAGTTTTATTGCAACAGTGAGCGACCAGCAGTACAATATGATTTTAAAAAATTAAGTGATAAATTAATAAAGCAGTTTTACAGAATTTTGGGTTAGATTCTATTAAGTAATAAACAAAAACTCTAGAATTAGTAATCATATATTAAGGATACAAGACAGCACGTCTTTAACAGTTGAACAAATTTCTGTGCTAAAAACCTAAAACATTGTCTTAATTGTTTATCTAAATCTGAATTTTATTCTTATTGATTCTTTAAATATTAATGGAAGCCCAACAATTTTTTATTCAAGGTATGCATGCACACTTCCATATCTGAAAAAGTGCACATCCACAGGATAGCTTATACTGAGAATCAGGGCTTTTTTCCCTGGGGGAATGTGCTGGAACAGAGTTTGGTGTAGAGCCAGTTTGGTGTAGAGCCAGTTTGGTGTCGTGGTGAAGTGGCCGGACTCTAATCTGGGAGAACCGGATTTGATTCCCCACTCCTCCACTTGCACCTGCTGGATGACCTTGGGCAAGCCGTAGTTCTGACAAGAGCTGTTCTTGAAAAAGTGCAGTTTCTGCCAGAGTTCTCTCAGCCCCACTTGGTGTCTGTGGTGGGGAGGGGAAGGGAAAGGAGTTTGTAAACCGCTCTGAGACTCCTTTGGGTAGTGAAGGGTGGGGTATAAATCCAATCTCTACTTCTGACAAAATTCTTTTTAAAATGTTTGACAGTTCATGAGTTTTCACTATACAGATTGAAAACTTCCTTTCTCTCTTGAGAGTTCCAAGTTTGTTTTGCTACTTCAGTCTAACAGCTGCTCACCTGGATCTGTCTTTGTAAGTGAACAAAGTCCGAATCCAGTGGAACCTTTAAGACCAACAAAGTTTAATCCTGGGTATAGGTTTTTGTGTGCATGCACTGTTTTTCAGATAGCTGAAGAGGACATCTGAAGAAGTGTGCATGGATAGGACAGCTTATACCCAGAATGAAGCTTTGTTGGTCTTAAAAGTGCCACTGGACTCAAACTTTGTTCTGTTGCTTCAGTCCAGCACGAATGCCCACCTGTATCTGGTTTAAGTAGGGTTACCATATTTTGAAAAGCAAAAAATTTTCCCAACTGACTACTTCAAACAAGTGATCCCTGTGACAAATCTCATTTTAAATAGCCTTTCTCCTTCAGTGGTGGGGAAGTCATCTGTGACAAATCTCATTTGAAATAGCCTATTTAAACTGTGATAATTGCTATTAACTAGGAATATCCCAAACCTTCCAACCCCCAAAAGAGGACATTTTCCTCGGGTTTTTTTTTTTAAAAAAAGAGTCCAAAAGAGGATGGATGCCAAAATAGGAGGACATGTCCTCTAAAAAGAGGACCTCTGGTTACTCTAGGTTAAGTTCAGTTCAAAGTCTGTGTTTGAGGCTGAGAAAGTTTCTTGAGCGCAGAACGCATTGTGATGTAATGATTAGGGGTGTCGGACTAGGGCCTGGGCTAGATTATATCAGGTTAGGGATGCCAACTTCCAGGCTGCAATTACAATGGACCGCCAGATGACAGAGATCAGTTCCCCTGGAGAAATTGGCTGCTTTGGAAGGTGGACTCTATGATATTTATAACAACCTGGAGGCTGGAGATCTCCCAGGATTGCAACTGATCTTCAGGCGACAGAGATCGGTTCCCCTGGAGAAAATGGCTGCTTTGGGTGGTCAGCCATATGGCACTGTGCCCCATTGAAGTCCCTCCCTGCCCCATACCCTGCCTTCCTCAGGCTCCATCCCCAAAGTCTCCAGGTATTTCCCAAACTGGAGCTGGCAGTCCTATCACCCAGGGAGGTCCTTCCCAAACTCCTCCCTCCCCAAGCTCCACCTCAAACATCTCCAAGTATTTCCCAACCCAGGGACTGGCTACCCTAAGTGGTCTATACTACTGGGCAGGGGTCATTTTGTAGAAAAAGAGCTAGGGGAACTCATTAGCATACGCCATACCCCCTGACATCACCAGAAGTGTATCATAAGGCCACACCCCCTGATATCACCGGAAGTGTGTCATAAGGCCACACACCCCGCCCCCAACGGTCCCAGCCGCCCCCGCCGGCCTTGCAGCTCCACTGCCGAGCCCCATGAGGGGCCCTGCGGTGGACCTGCAAGGCCGGTGGGAGTGCAAGGAAGCCCCGCAAAGGCCCTCCCTGGTCCCAGGCAGGCAGGGGTGGGGAGAGGCAGGGAGGAAGCAACTTACCCTCCCTCTTCTCCTGCCTCCTCCTGGCTGAATGAGGGCCGGAAGCGGGGCAGCCGGAAGCAGGGGGCGGGGCTTCATCATGTGCCCCACCCCCGTACCTCACCCGGGGGAACTGCGATCCCCCCTGAAATGACCTCTGCTACTGGGTATAGCTTGCTGTATGTTGGAGCCCACTCTGTAATTTTTGCGTCATTTAATGTGTCATGTTAATACTTATGTGTTGCTTCAGCTCTGTTTTTAGACTTCTGGTTGGTTCTACAACCCTAACTCCTGGCCCAAAGGACACCCGTCTTGCCTCAACCAGGGCCAGGGCTTTCTCTGTCCTGGCCCCAGCCTGGTGGAACATGCTCCCTGTTGAGACCAGGGCCCTGCGGGATCTCCTTCAATTCCACAGGGCGGGCAAGATGGAGGTGTTCCGCCAGGCCTTTGGCCCCACTGCTGGACCTCCTGAGGGCACCTGGTATTTTTGGCCACTGTGTGACAGAATGTTGGACTAGATGGGCCATTGGCCTGATCCAACATGGCTTCTCTTGTTTTCTTATGTGCCCATCTATGGCCTCCCTGAGGTGGCCGTCACCCGTCTGTCACCTGTCTACTGACCACCGACAACTGGCCTTTAACTCATTGTACCATCGGGGCAGGACTTTATAGCCAACTGACGCTGTTCCAAGCAGCACCCATTGTTTGAATTGTTATCATGTTTTATCGTGGTTTAATGTTTTAAACTGAAATTGTATTTATTCTAATGATGTTACCCGCCCTGAGCCTGCCCACGGAATGGGCGGGATATAAATGCAAATAATAAATAAATAAACAAACAAATAAATATTTGCATTGTTCACTGAATGTCCCCTCCCGTTGATTGTATTGACTCGCTCTGGGTCATCCACCTTGACTCCAAGTGAGAAAGGAGGACTATAAATGACTGAAATAAATAAAACTCCTCTCTCAGCCAGAGGAAGCACATGACAAGCCGCCATGCTAAATCAGATGTGTACTCCCCATAACTTTATCCTCACACTGTCAAAAGCCTCATGTGTTGACTCTCTCTCTCTGCCTGGCAAGTAGGGTAGGAATGGAGGGAAATGCTTTAGATAACCTAAATCGTCTCATCTACCCATCTATTAGATGTACAGGAGCACAACAAGAAAGAAATAAAAAGTGCACATGTGAAAACTGATGGATCTTATGTCAGTCTTCATGCCTCAGACGTAGGGTTGCTAGCTCCAGGGTTGGGAAGTCCCTGGAGGTTTGGAGAGGAGCTTGGGGACAGGTGGGGCCTTAGCAGGGTATACTGCAGTAGAGTTCACCCTCCAAACCAGCCTGGACATCATTTGCAATTCTCCAGGCCCCACCTGGAGGCTGGCAACCCTACCCCCGTCATGTGTTTCTTTACAAGGCTGAAGTTGGATCCAAGCAGCTTTTCTGCCGGTGAAGGGAGGGGGTCACCTTTGAGTAGCCAAAAAGGCCGTACTGAGAAATTCCTGGAGATTTTGTGGTGGAGCCTGGGGAGGACAGAGTTGGGGAGGGGAGGGACCTTAGTGAGGTATAATGCCATATAATCCACCCTCCGAAGCAGCCGTTTTCCTCCAGGGGGACTGGTCTTTGTACTCTGGGGATCAGGTATAATTCTAAAGGATCTCTACACACACACCCCATCTTGAAGTTGGCAACCCTAGCTTTGGTAACTCAAAATAACCCTTGGCCCCAGTCCCATTAAGGCCTATGACCACAGCCAGTGGCTAGTAGAATTCTCAGACGCCATCCTGAGTGTTGGGAATGGAAATGGAAACAGCTCCCGAAGGGGTGTAAGGTCGTTGTCCCCATTTTACATTATGCACCCTGTGCCTGTGCCTGCTTACTCAGAAGTAAGTCCTAATCAGCTCAGTTGGAGTTTCCCCAAAAGTAATTTGTAAAAAAACCCTGCTGTGTGTCCTGTGTGTTGTCCAGGTCCAGCCCAGTAACAATGGCACATTTTCCTGCTTAAGTGTTTGTCATCCATTGGAGTTCTTTTTAACGATCATTGTCTTCGCACAGTGCTTCAAGATAAATACCATTATATATGTATTATTACGCACACATAATAGTGTTTCTGATAGCCTTGTTTCTATGATGCTCTTTCCTGTACCTACTTCTGATAAGCCAAATTTTATTCTCCGCCCTCCCAGGTACCCTGGTGGGTCTTAGGTGGCCAGCAAAGCTCATTGATGAAAGGAGATATGATGCCTTGTATGCACTATATTTTTGCAGTTCTTTTGGCAATCCAGATCGCCACTTGAATATGAAATGAAAAAGATATGAAAATGTCTATAGGGAATGAATTTGCGAATATTACTGATGAAATGTTTATATGCCTTTTTGGGGGGGGCTAGTCAATTGAAGAAAATGAAGTTTACCTTCCCAACGATGAGCTCTGGATCTATGACATTGACAGTGGATTATGGTAAGCCTCTTTAGATACAACTGAATTTTTTTTACAAGGTTTTTGTATTAATAGCTTTAGAAGCTGTAACAATTGCTTTTAAGAACGTAAGGAGAGCCTTTCTGGATCAGACAGGTGGTCCCATCTAGTCCAGCATCCTGTCTCTCACAGAGGCCAACTTTACAAAACTGAGATGTTCCTTAGAGCATGTGCAGAATTCCTTGCAGTAACAAGAAGCTGAAGGGGTCATTTCCCATGGACTCAGTTTCCCCTGAAGGATGAAAATAGAAGACAAGGGAAAATCCAAAATGTCCAGATATTTATGGTAAATGGAATTGGACCTAAACCAGCCTCCTTTCTAAGAATGTCAAGCTTATTTCTCCAATCTCACGCAAATCCACATCTCTGATGTCAGAGGCTCCTGTTACCAATCAGAGCAATATAAAATATAGTCCCGCCTTTATCAAGCATCTGGTAATTGCTCTGAGCTTCCATGACAAGTAGGTGGTCTGGTCCAAACTGGATTGTCCTTTGTCCAGAAGGGATTAAGTTTGCCAGGATGGCCCAATGTGGAATGGAAATAAATGGGTCAGTCTAATGGTTCAGTCTAGGTGGAGCTCTTGCCCTAGTGAGATGTTAGAGTATCTGTCACAGATTTTGTCACCAGCTGCTCCAATGCGCAGTCATTTATGATGTCTAGAAACCTCATTTCCATGGCATGACTTGAGCTCAAATTTGCCCTGTCAATATGAGGGTAGTTGAAGTCACCCAGTATGACAATGTATTCCACTTTAGTTATTTTGCTCTCTATCTCAAGATCTGCCTCATGACTTTGATCAAGGGGCGATGGTACACTCCCACTTTTAAGGCACCTTTAGTACCTATTATCTCCATCCACAGCAGTTGTGTCCCCGTTCCCCAGATTTAATAATAATAATTATTATTATTAAACTAAGAACTGTGAGCCTAAGAAACCTGGTCCTAAATTCCACACCTAACATAATGCTTGGTGAGAGGGTCACAATTATTCATCTGTTTCCTGCGGTGACAGGCAATGGTGAAATAGAACACCAACTCCCACCGACTGCAGTAAGAGCCTGAGCTCTCCCTGAGAGTTCAAATGACTCAACTGAGGCTATCTTACTTTGGTCGCATTACGAGAAGACAAGACCCACTGGGAGATACAAAGATGCTAGGAAAAGCTGAAAGCAGCAGGAGCAGAGGAAGGCCCAACAGGAGATGGATGGAAGCCACAGCCTTCAGTTTGAAAGACCTGGGCAAGGCTGTTAACAAGAGGACATTTTGGAGGTCATAAATTCATAGGGCAGCTTGATGGCACATAGCACACACCTCCCACCTAGGCTGAGAACGAAGGTCTGATAGACGCAGGCTATGGTGACCCTAGGAACAATCCAAAGACAGCTCGAAAGAGCCGAGGACATATTTACACAAAGGATTTTTCTGAAGTCGGGTCCAATACCATGCTGGGTTCCCGGGCAGCTTCCTCATGGAACGACCGTCAGTTTCGCTTTGACCTTTGCTTGTAGACATGCCAGAATCCAGCCATCACAGTGGTTACATTTAAATGCCGCTGTTTATATTTGAGGTCACTGGCAAAATTGGTTGGTTTGCTTATTTAAAATAATTGTATCATCCACGAACATGAAATTGAGCCAACTTCAGAGGACAGCGGAAGACAGGAGGGCCTGGCGGGAGCTGGTCCATGGGGTCGCGAAGAGTCGGACTCGACTGTGCGACTGAACAACAACAAATCATCCACCTTTCCTCCTGGAAAAAAATGAAGGGGGGGTAGTATTTAGACACACAAGTCTACACTGTAAAATTTTTGTAATCAAATGCAATAGCTTTGGGGCAGAACCTCCCTTTCATATTTTTGGCTATTCTGAAATCCAGGACCAGGATCACATTAATTCCATGAGCAAGGGAAACCTTTACTCTTACAGCAGTACAATAAGAAGAAGTGATCTGGGAATTAGCTTGCTCCCAACTTCCATATGGACTTGGCTATAAGATTCATCACCACATCCAGGATACATTTTAGAAATCCATTTTTAACGCCACCTTTCTTGCCCAATTTGTTTTTGTGAACTTTATAGAATTAGTTGATAAATTAACCCATGTATTTCTCTTTCTCACGAATCTGTTTTATTTGATGGACACAACAGATATTGTAGGCATTGTTTTAATTTGTATTTGTGCAAATTGTTTCCTTAACTGGTTAATCCATTTGCACTGAATCAGCTCCCAGTGATATATATCTTTTGGGGTGATATTTATGTACACCTAACTTTGACTCACGAAAGTTTATACCCTGGAAAATGTTGTTAGTCTTTAAGGATTTGCTGAAGTAATTACAGTTTTTTTCCCTTTCTCTCTGAGCAAGATTATGGGATGTCTTGTGTTTGCTCAATTTCAGGTCAATGCATCTAATGGAAGGGGATTTACCTCCCTCGATGTCTGGGAGCTGTGGGGCTTGCATCAATGGGCAGCTGTACCTCTTCGGTGGCTTTGATGACAAAGGATACAGCAATCGGGTACTGGGTCCCTTTAGTTTTCTGGACATATCGTAACAACCTACTGAGGATGAAATAACTCACTCATGAAACCGATACCTTACTATTAAGATTTCTCAGTCAAACTAATCTTAATAGTAAGGTATTGGTTTTACTTATCAAATAGTTTAAAATACGGTGGCTGGGATCCGAAGAGCTACTTTTATCTATGATCTGCCTCATTTGTATTTTTCCCTTCCTCCATAGAGCTGGAGGCAGGGTATATGTTCTCGCTTCCTCATTTTACCCTACACCAACACTGTGGGGGAGTTTAGGCTGAGGGAGAGTGACAGAGAGAGAGAGACAGTGTGGTGTAGTGATTAAGAGTGTGGACCCGAATCTGTGAGAACTGGGTTTGATTTCCCCACCCTTCCACATGCAGCTGCTTGGTGTGACCTTGGGTCAGTCATAAGTTCTTTCAGAGCTGTTCTCTCACAAGCAGTCCTCCAGAGAGCTCTCTCAGCCCCACCTACCTCACAGGGTGTCTGTCATGGGGAGGGGGAGGGAAAGGAGATTGTAAGCCGCTCTGATAATCCTTCGGGTAGTGAAGGACGGGGCATAAATCCAATCCAGGTCACCCATTGAGCTTTTGGGCAGTGTAGAGATGTGAACCTGGGTCTCCACCACTTTAAATGTGTATCACTTTAGGTGTCCCCAGCTGCTTCAGTACATCTTGTAGGATCTTACATAAACCCCTCCCCTGTGTCATATTACATTACTGCTGTTGCAGGGGGCAGGGAGGAGGAAGGAATAATGAAATTAGGGAAGTAACATGTCCTCAGCCTCATTTCTTTGAATCCTGCCCTACGATTGCAACCCACGGACACCGCTTCTGCACTGCTTCTAGCTGCATTCATACCCATATGGATTTTACGTCCAATGTGTTTGCCTGCTGTTTAAAATTAACCTTGTTGACGGCAGGGGTGCTGTTGATGTGGGAGAATACAGTGCCAAAATGCTGTGACTGTTTCTGCAACCGTTCATGACAGGATGTAGCAATCATTAATTCCTATCAATGTTGTAGCCAAATGTATGGTTAAATGGTTTGCTTCTTCATTTTGACTCCCAGGAATTAGGGCTACCGTTGTGAAATGCTGTGACCAGTAGCCAGTTACCAGCCACAGTTCAAACCAGGATACTCAAGTATAAAACAGCTTAGTCCCTGTTGTAATTAATAGATCTGGTCCTCTGGGTGTCTGCCAAGGGTGGATTTTGGTGCAAACTGGTCTGGCACCGATCTCTGGCTGAGCTTTGGCCTTGAAACTGCAGCCAGCTCCACTTCGCTTGGCCTGAATTGCAGTCAAAGGCATTTTCATGAGTGAGAAAACTCACCTTGGCCTTAATTCAAAGGCAGTGTGGATCACACTCTAAGTAAAATACAAATGGCCTCCGTAATGAAAGCAGATTTCCTGCTAGTTATTGGCATTTATAGACTGGAGATCAGAGCGTTTAAGGGTTTTCTCTTTTTTTTAAAAAAAATGGAATGAGTATCACTGCTTGTTCTCTCCTGTCGCCACCGTTGCCAATCAGCGCTTAATTTTTTTCCTGGAATATTGCTCTGTGTTGAAAGTGTTCTAATTTCCTTTTAAGCTCTATTATGTTAATTTGCGAACAAGGAATGGAGCCTATTTGTGGAAAAAACTCTCAGACTTTAATGGTCAGCCTCCTACACCACGTGACAAACTTGCCTGCTGGGTGTATAAAGACAGGTAATTGTCATGGGTGATTTCACAAACGGGGAGGTGGCGTTAGCTGGTCGACAGACTGACTGATTAGGCCCCCAGAGTTCTTAATTCTTTGTGTCTTCATGTCCTGGGTCAGTTATCCTAATTTTACCTGTGCTTCTCACTCATAACATTGGACTCTCGCTGTCCTTAATTTGTGCACAAGGTATGGGGATGGTAACAGCGGCTAGTTTTATAGCTTTTGGTAATGTGAACGCATTGTCAAATGCCTGTAACGTTCCCTGACTCATGGGTGATTCAAGGCGGAATTTAATTTCCCCCCTGCTGATTTCCTAAGAGCACTGATGACATAAACAGATTCCAAGAACCCCACTGGGATGAAGACAGAACTAAAAGACCAACAGTGCAGTCCTAAGTGGCCGATAGACTTCAGTGGGCTTTGAAGAGTCTACCTCGGCCTAGGATTGCACTTCAGTAGTCTCAATGGCAAAGAGTTAATTTGTATTCTAATCTTTTCAGGCTAATATATTTTGGAGGTTATGGCTGCAGGAAGCATAATGAGCTGAGTGACTGCTTTGATGTCCATGACGCATTCTGGGTAAGGGACACCATATTTTCAAATAGAAAGGACCCTTATAACATAAGAACATAAGAGAAGCCAATGTTGGATCAGGCCAAAGGCCCATCTAGTCCAACACTCTGTGTCACACAGTGGCCAAAAGTACCTGGTGCCATCAGGTGGTCCAGCAGTGGGGCTAGGACACTAGAAGCCCTCCCACTGTTGCCCCCCCCAAGCACCAAGAATACAGAGCATCCCTTGCCCCAGCCTGAGAGTTCCTATCGATACCTTGTGGCTAATAGCCACTGATGGACCTCTGCTCCAGATGTTTATCCAGTTCCCTCTTGAAGCCATCCGTGCTTGTAGCCACCACCAACTCCTGTGGCAGTGAATTCCACGTGTTAATCACTCTTTGGGTGAAGAAGGGCTTCCTTTTATCTGTTCTAACCCGACTGCTCAGCAGTTTCATTGAGTGCCCACTTGAGTTCTTGTATTGTGAGAAAGGGAGAAAAGTACCTCTTTCTCTACCTGCTCTATCCCATGCATAATCAAGCTCGATCATGTCACCCCTCAGCCGTCGTTTCTCCAAGCTAAAGAGCCCCAAGCGCTTTAACCTTTCTTCATGGAGACAGTGTTCCAACCCTTTGATCGTTCTAGTTGCCCTTTTCTGCACTTTTTCCAATGCTAAAATATCCTTTCTGAGGTGTGGTGACCAGAACTGTACACAGTACTCCAGATGAAGTCGCACCATTCCATGTTTGCTGGAATATTACAGATGCTTTCATTCTTCTCTTCTGTTCTTCTCTATATGGTTCCTGATCTTTAGGAGGGCCAGATATACTGGGGTTGGCACAACGATGTCCATGTCTTTGATACAAGTCTACAAACTTGGTATCAGCCCACAATTAAAGTAAGTGTCATATTGAAATCTTGGCTAAATTCTTGTCATGGTTATGAAACCGCCCTTTTCTGGCCGTCGTGTTTTATTTAACAATCAGGTTGTCTTCCATACATAACCTTGCGCTTTCTCCTTTAGCTTCTCGAATTTGCACAAATCTTTGGAATTATTTTGTATTCTTTTGTCTTCGCTTGCAGCACGGAGATCCACCTCAGCCCCGAGCGGCTCATTCGTGTGCCGTCCTGGGAAATAAGGGCTACGTCTTTGGAGGACGGGTTTTGGTTAGTCTTTTTAAAATTCAAAGTGTGATCGTTCCCAGTGTAAATGTAGCCACTGGGCATGGATGAATCTCCTCCCTTTCTCCTTCTCCTTTTCTGGGGCACACGTGCATTAGAGCTCTGTTCCTGTCTCCTGTTTATGTTTCCCTGAACCAGCTCCGTACCTGTCCAGGCACAGCATCTTGCACCCTGCATGACAGAGAGCCAGCCTGGTATAATGGTTATTGTCAGACTAGGCTCTAGGGCTGCGATCAGACGCACAATTAGACCTGACATAGGTGCGAATGCCAGGCGGATTTAAAGGGCGGGATCAGACGACAACTTCTGGGAAGCGCCCTGCAGCCGTCGGCAACCCGTTCTGCTCCGCTGCAGAAGTGGAGTTAAAAGACACTGGGGGAAATCCGGTAGTAAACAGGTTGCGACGGGCTAGGGATGGACTTTCCCGTGTCTGATCGCTCCAGCACGCTCTCATGCCGTCAAGATGGTCTGATCAGGCCATCCCAATTCCGTGCTGTTGTTTCCCCCCCCCCTTCTCAGTATGCGCATCATCGCAAACTCCATAGGGAGCCCTCAGTGCGGAGGTGCGATTCGTTGATTCCTTGCTTATGCGCATGGGGGGTGAATATGGCACAAAAAACCCGACTCACCGACAGTTGCGGCTGATCACGCACCGACAGACTGCGCCCGCAGCTTCAAAGGGAGGTGTGACCGTGCAACTGTGGGTCAAATTCCTCTGGAGGAAATAGCCAAACCGCCCCCACCCCCCGTTTTATATGGCGCGTGTGACCGCAACCTAGGAGACCCAGGTTGGACTCCCCACTCTGCCATGAAAGCTCACTAGGTGACCTTGGGCTAATCATACTCTCTCAGCCTAGCCTTCTTCATAGGGTTGTTGTGAGGATAAATTGGAGGAGTGGAAACCAGTGTAATCTTCTTTGGGTCTTCACTGGGGAGCAAGGCAGCAAATGAATGCAGTGAACGAATGAGTGACTGATACGGTTGGCTGTTGTGTCCTGCATATGGACACTGCAGTCCCCTCCTGCCCTCTGGGGAGCTGTCCGGTTGCTGTGCTGAAATCATTATTTTCTTTCAACATCATCCTCACACACTCTGTTCTGTTTCTTTAAAAACAGCAAACAAGGATGAACGATTTACATTCTCTGAACTTGGATACCTGGGCTTGGTCAGGAAAGTAAGTTATTTCCCCCCATATCACTTTCTTCTCTGGTTTCAGCATTTCTAATTCAACCTGGAATATGTGATGTGATTTTTACATTTCTGTTGAGTGGGTTTGTGTTTATGAAATTGCTCTCAGCTGCACTCATAAAAGGGCTGTGATGTGATGCAGTTTTCTTTAGGGCAGTAAGCAATGAGATGACATAAAAGGAAACTTCCTTATATTGCACTGAAATCTTAGTTTGACGACTCTTGCAACTATTGTATCTATTGCTGTCGTTATAAGTATTCTCACTTTGGGAAAAAGTGGTTTTAACTTTTTTTTAAAATCAAACCGAGAATATTTTAAAGGAAGAAACTCTCTTAACAGAGAGTTGCCTTCCCTTATTTGATTGTTCTAGACTTTGTGTATATGTGTGTTATATTGCTATCAAGTTGCTTTTGAGAGCCAGTTTGGTGTCGTGGTTAAGTGTGCAGACTCTAATCTGGGAGAACCGGGTTTGATTCCCCACTCTTCCACTTGCACCTGCTGGATGACCTCGGGTAAGCCATACGTTCTTCCAGAGCTGTTCTTGAAAAAGAGCAGTTTCTGTCAGAGTTCTCTCAGCCCCACCTACCTCACAGGCACTGTTCCCTCTAAGCTGAGTTAGTGTGAGCAAGCTCACAGTTCTTTAGCCTCCAGCTCACACATTTTTGTCTTAGCCCAGGAAGGATGGCTCCAAGCAACCTAATTTCTGCAGCAGTCAAATCGCTCGCTCACAACTTTAATCCCAGTTGCTCACAAAGTAGAATTTTTGCTCACAAGATCCCACAGCTTAGAGGGAACAGTCACAGGGTGTCTGTTGTGGGGAGGGGAAGGGGATGGAGTTTGTAAGCCGCTCTGAGACTCCTTTAGGTAGTGAAGGGCTGTGTATTAATCCAATCTCTTCTTCTTTTTCTTCTTCTCTTTTGACATATGGTGACCCTGTGAATTAACGAGTCTCCATGATTCTCCATAAGTCAGAAGCCGCTTGACGGCACTTAACACACTCACAGCAGCCTTGCAAACTGAAGACCGTGGCTTCCTTTATTGCGTTTGCTGTTTAGGCACACCTACAGAAGTTCAGGTCTCCTACCCCATCTCATCATTTTCACAAAAGTAGTCCTTCTCTGGGGAAATTTAATTACAAGGTCTGTTGCAATTTAAACAGAGGCGAGATGGCCATCTGACACCAATGCTGATTCTGTGAACTTAGGCAGATCGTGAGAGGGAGGGCAGGAAAGGTGGAATCAGTGCTTAGTTCCCGTGGCCCTTTCTTACATGCCCAAGGAAATGCTGATGGCCACTTTGTGGTCAGGAAGCTATTTTTCTCCAGGCCAGTTTGGCTGGGGATCCTGGAGGGTTTTTGTCATCTTCTGGGCATGGAACAAGGGTCACTGGGGGTGTGGAGGGGGAGGTATTTGTGAATTTCCTGCCTTGTGCAGGGGGTTGGACTAGATGACCCTGGAGGTCCCTTCCAACTCTATGATTCTGCTATGCTGAAAAAAGCGAGCCATCCTCTGTCTGCCACTATGAAGTCCTCTAAGCTTGTTTTGGAGGAAGGTGAGTGCCCAGATAAATGCCGAAGCTGGGATTTTCATGTCTCCCAAGAGTATGCATAAGAAGAGCCTTGCCCCCTTTTCAGAAACATGGGGCAGGTGCCCCAGTGGGGAACAGTGGTCAGCAGAGCCACAGGAATCATGTCAAAAGCCAGATGTTGCTCTTGAGCAACTGGATTAGGTTGATTCAGGTGGGTAGCCCTGTTGGTCTGAAGCAACAGAACAAAGTTTGAGTCCAGTGGCACCTTGAAGACCAACAAAGTTTAATTCTGGGAATAAGCTAGAAGTGTGCATGCACACAAAAGCTTATATCCAGAATCAGGGCTCTTTTGTAGAAAAAGCCCAGCAGGAACTCATTAGCATAATAGGCCACACCCAACAGCAGGAACTCATTAGCATATTGGGCCACACCCCTGACAGCACAGCTCATTAGCACATTAGGCCACACCCCCATGTTACCAGAAGTGTGCTCATCCAGCCACACCCACCTTTTGCTTGTTATTCTGTTCACCTTGTTTGTTGTCAAAACCCAGGGCTTTTTTGTAGCAGGAACTCCTTTGCATGTCAGGCCACACACCCCTAATGTAGCCAGTCCTAATGAGTTTCTGCTGTTGGGTGTGGCCTATTATGCTAATGAGTTCCTGCTGGGCGTGGCCAACTTGGGAGCCAGACGGAATTCCATTCCTGTGTGTTCCTGCCCAAAAATAGCCCTGTCAGAATTAAACTTTGTTGGTCTTCAAGGTGCCACTGGACTCAAACTTTGTTCTACTGGATCAGGTTGTTACACATAAAGGATGACGAGAGAGGAAAGAGGTTCCAGTCTCTCCCAAGGAGAACCGGTAAGTGAAAGTGTAATAAAGTAGGATAAACAGCAACTACAAGAAAGAAATAGTCTAAAGCATAAGAAAATTGACCTCAGCAAAGGGTGTGATTCATCACGTTAGGAAACACCAGTTAAAGTTTAAGCCAGGATGAAAGACAGCATTTAATTTTTTGATGAGTTCTCATTCAGCACTTTTGCATTGCATATCCCCGTTCCCCTCTGCCCCTCTTTTGGAGGGAGGGTAGAACAGATCTGCAACAGGATGCCCAGGAAGATTAAAACATTCCCTCCCACTCGTTTCTGAATCTTGTAGTTTCTGGTGTTAGATTTGTGTTTGTTTATTCTCTCCCATTGGGACTGACCGACTTGTCCTTTGTGGACAGTGGAGCAGCATTGTTGGCAGATCCGATGTTAAGCTGGATGAGGTGCGAGTGGATGAGCTCAAGATGGCGTACCTGATTTTTTTGGGTCCTGTAACAGTATTGCTTTAGTGGAGAGCCAGTTTTGTGTAGTGGTTAAGTGCGCGGACTCTAATCTGGGAGAATTGGGTTTGATTCCCCACTCCTCCACTTGCACCTGGCTGGATGACCTTGGGCAAGCCATAGTTCTGATAACAGCTGTTCTTGAAAAAGAGCAGTTTCTGTCAGAGCTCTCTCAGCCCCACCTACCTCACAGGGTGTCTGCTGTGGGGAGGGGAAGGGAAAGGAGTTTGTAAGCCACTCTGAGACTCCTTTGGGTAGTGAAGGGCGGGGAATAAATCCAATCTCTTCTTCTTCTTCTTCTATATGGGGACAACATTGTTCTCCCTGTTTGGTTCTTGGGTTTGTTTCTCTGTTGGGTGGTCCATCGTTGCTGGTGAGAAGGGGGGAAGGTCATTCAGTTCCCTCTGCCACTCCCGTGCCCCTACTCTCTGCCACAGCTTTTTGAGGGGCACAGGGAGCTGCTGGTGAAAAAGGAAGATGAGAAAGACTCAGCCCAGGTCACCGAAGCTCAGATCTAACGCCCGAGCAAATGTTTAAATCCCCCTTTGGAACCATTTAAGCCAGTGGCTGACACCACATCTTGAGGCAACATATTCTGTAAATTAATTTTGTGTTCTCTGAAAAAGTACTTCATTTTGCCCATCCTGAATCTTCTGCCAGTCAGTTTCATAGGCTTATGAGCAAGGGTAGTAGTTTATCCACTTTCCCAACACCGTGCATATAAATCATCCTAATTGCCCTGTGTCTTCTCCCTCTGCGGCAGAGGACATCTCTGTGGGTTATTCCCATTGTTCCCATCGGGAGGCAGGAAACACTTTTTTCTTCTTCCCTTTGGCGCCTTCGGAATAACTCGCCCCTTCAGTTCTGTTCCTGCCTCCATAGGGAGTAGCAGCATTAGCATAGTGTAGGCTCAGCTCTAGCTTATGCCTTTTTTCTGCACTTCTTACCCCCCTTTCTTTACATTTTTCCTAAACTTTTTTGCCTTGTTCTCTATTTCCTTCTACCTCCGTTACTTCTCTGCTTCCCCCGCCTTGGGGACTCTGAAAATCTGTCTCCCGCCTTTTTTGCCTCCACTGGAACGGAGCGCACAGATGGTGGCAACAGAGCACACCGACGCCTTTCTCTCTGAGGAGGAAGCCGAGCCGTGTCGCGCCACAGCTCCGCATCTGATCACCGGCGGGGCCAACTTGCCCCCGCGGCTTGTTCGTGCTGATGTAGAAGATGCCGCTTCGGTCATTTGCTTGCTCTTTGATGCCACAACATCATTTTTGAGATAGGGCAATGAGAACTGAATGTAGCTGCCCCATAGATTTATATAAATTCATTTCCATACTGGCTGTCTTGTTTGCAGTCCCACAGCTAAGAAACTCCCAGAGAGTTCCAATGAGAAGTATAAAGCTTGTGAAGAAAGTAGATAATTGTAAGCAAATTGTCCGATTCATGATACCTTCAGAAAATAGTTGCCTCCTGTAATCATGGTAAACTCCCACCCCAGTAATTCTTTTGTTTACTTCTTTTTATGATATACACCTTCAGTATTTTGTTTCCTTTTCTACCTAGAATTTGTACAAATGGCGAAAAACCAGGGGAGCGATCATGGCATACTTTAACTCCTATAGCAGATGATAAACTGTTCCTGTTTGGTGGGCTGAGTTCAGACAATGTACCTCTAAGTAAGTATGTTTTCCAAACTCTATTGAGTTTGTTGGGCAAGCAGCGGTACAATTTATAATTGCTTAATTGGTGTGGTTAGTGAATTAAAAATAAAAACTTTGAACTAAACTTTGTCCCTGACGAATGTATAGAGTGTAGCTTGCCATTGCCCCACTGAAGATGGGGGATCCCCTGCCCCCAGGGGGCTCTTCTCTGCCATTGCTTGGCTGGCCAGCAGGGGGGAAATGGCGGGAAAGGGGGGGGGATGTGGTTAGTGTCCTGATGTGCTGATGTCACTCCCTGTGCTGTGGCTTAACCACAGAGTTTTGCCTGAATGCCAGAGTGTCCCTGGTGTTCCCTGGTGATGCGTTGACATCATTTCTGGGCTCATGGGGAGTGATGTCATGGTGTCACCAGCAATTTCATTATGTCACCAGTGAGGCCCCCCCCCCCACTGGTACGTCCCCCCACCAGTTGCCAGGCAGCAGTAATGAAAATTCTTGGAGAACCTGTAGCCACCTCATCCCCATGCCAAAGTTGATAGAAGCAAAACGGGTGACTTTTCCTTTCGCTGTTTATCCACGTCTAACAGATTGCACTTGCAAAGTGAAACTTCTGGGTCTACCTTTGCAGCAGTAAAAGCACAGGCAACTAAAGCTACAATCAGTTCCAAAATACTGATTATGAAAACAAGCCCAGCCTTTATTTCTGCAAATTCACACAAGCTTGGTACTTTTTCAGGGTTACACTCCAGCACCCACAGCAACTCTGGGAAATGCACACTGAGTTCTTGCAGAGGAAGGTTTTGTACGTTTCCCCAGTTTCCTGCCCCCTTCCTCAGATCAGTTATCATTTCTCCTCCCAAATGGGCCAACCCTGAATCCTGAATTTCTCCCATGAGCTCTAGGCAGGAATGGAAGATCGAGTCCCTCCTCCCCATGACGAGAAATTCTCCACCAAGCACAGGGTCTCTTTGAAGGAATCCAAATGCCAAAGGAGCCATGAGGGCCTAGGAAGGCCACATGGACCTGAAAACTTGGCAAAATAGGGGAAATTGTCATGATTCTGATCCCGTGGTTCATTGGTCATAGTGAATGACTTTTGATATTGAAAAACATTACAAAAGCAGATTGTGATGCCATGGAAGCCCCAAAGGGTCAAACATTCTGTGCCTCCTCGGGAGTGAGCTGAAGTGGTTCTTTCCGTCATTGCTGGGGTTGCCCGATGTTTTTGTATCAAATATTTATTTGCTGGCGTTACGTTCAACACAAAATCGACTGTGTTAGGCAGCCATTTATTATCAATGGAAATTTCTTATAAAAATAACATTAATCTGTACACCTTTCTTTTCAGGTGATGGCTGGATTTATAGCGTCTCCCCAAATGAATGGCAACAGCTTGCCTATTTACCAAAGAGCAGACCGAGGTATCTTCAGCCAGTCCACACTTGTTGGGACTGAGATAAGTAGGAATAGATTGTTATGTCAAACTCAGAATCATTGCATTCTCAAATATTTGCTTGCATGTTAATGTTAGTATTTTAAATAAATACATCAGTTGTATTTTAGATAACTACATCAATTACACACTTTGTTTTTCAGATGATACCAAAGAGGTAATCAGTCAAGTGATTGTGAGATTAGATAATGTCTGACTTAGTCAATATGCAGTTAACTGACACTTACCAGAATGCTCAGTTAACCAATTGCTGCCCTTACCCTGCGCAGAGCCTTCTGTTGCGTTTGTGTTTTTGCCCTAAATGTATAGAATCATAGAGTTGGAAGGGGCCATACAGACCATCTAGCCCAACCCCCTGCCCAATGCAGGACCAGCCTAAAGCATCCCTGACAAATATTCGTCCAGCCTCTTCTTGAAAGCTGTCAGTGAAGGGGAGCTATTTATTCGGAAGAAGGCACATTGATTTCCTGGCGCACACAGTCAAAATTGCAGGTTGAAAAATTGGCTTGAATGAACTTCTGTCTTCTGGGAAGGACTGGGTGGTATGGGAGAGAGGTTGCTTGGAGCATAATGCTCAAAGCGGGTCTACATACCCGACATCCAGTGCAGATGGGACCAAATTTCGTGGCTATTAACCTACACAAACCTGGAAAATAACTGAACAGTTGAGACGTATTTATAAGTTTACAGCCAATGAATACATGAAGCTACTGTTCTGTCTGCCTCTGTATTGTCCACTCTAACTGGCAGCCCCTCTTCAGGGGCTTGCCTGATACCTTCTGCACAAGATCCTTTAACTGGAAATGTTGGGGATCATTACTGGGACTTTCTGCATACTTAACAAGTGCTCTATCCCCTCGTCAGAGGCTGTTCTTCAGCAAACGTTCCATCAGTATATGGACAGATGGATGCAATCTGGCTCTCCCAGCACCCACCACTACTATATCAGGTTGCCCTTCCGCTTTTTCTTCCCCTCTGAAGTCCGAAGCAGATCTATAATGCATTAGACAGGCTACAGGGCAGCACGCTGGTACTACTATTTATTTCATTTTGTAGATCTTTTTCCTTCAGTATAATTTGATAGCGGGTCAGCTGGAAGTCACATGAACTTTTCCATTGATCCTCAGCCCTCTTTGCTTTGCATAGTATGGCGCCCTCTTATTGGGGAGGACTGTATTTCTTTTTAATATTTATATTTTGTGTTTACAAAATAGGTAGTTTCAGGTGCCCCCAGGAATTTTAATAAATTCCAAATCCCCTCTTTGCTTCTGGTGTTGGTATTGTGACCCAGGGTCTAGGCTTTCAAGGATCTATGTGGTCCTGAGGAAGAATTGATATGACTTCTGGGATATATTTAAATAAAATAGGATTTATTGAAAGAGGAACAAAATAAGAGGTTGGTTATTATGTAACTGGCTGGGAATAAGGTTCTTGTAAATATATTTGTCAACTGTATCACACACTCTTGTCAGTTTCAGTCCTTAAGATTCCACCCTGACAGGAATCTCTCACTGAGGCCACCACACAGTTTAATCTCTTGGTAAATTTAACTTCTCTAAGAACTTTAAAGATTCACTATTGAAGATATATGCTGCTCTCTCTCAGATCCCACACAGAACTAACTGAACGCTCCCTGACTGAACAATACCAACTGACTTTCATAACTAACTTTCATAACTGACTGACACACACACACACAGAGATCCCTTCCAAAAACTCCCCCCACACTGTCATCCACCAATCACAGCACATTTCTCTCTCTCAGTCACTCTAGTCTGCTTATCACCACACTTCAACCAAACATTTAAAGGGACACACACACTCTTAAAACAAGGAATCGTTACACATAGTATAAACATTAGACCTAGGGCAGTCTCCCTTCAAGATCCACTCAGTGGAGCTGGGCTGAGGCCACTTAAGTCAGAGTAAAGAAAATATGCAGAAGTCCTTGTCGGCCGCCATTCCGCCCTTGTCCTTCCTTCACCCTGGACACAGAGCAAGGTTCAGCCACTGATGAGCCCAGGTACAAGCCTGACCCACTGAGAAATAGCAGTTTTCCCTGCAGTTGCCAAAATGAAGAGAGGCGGGCTGGGGGGCTGGCAGGCAGTTTCCAGGATGGGCTGCCCTCTTACGTAAAAGTAGTTACTGACCAGAGGCTTAGGGGGACTGGCAGGCATGAAGACCCTCTTGCCCGAAAGAGGCCTGGCTCTACTGAAGTAAAAATGCGCTCCTGTTATTTGCAGTCTCTGTGGAATGGGCCGAGTCCAGAGAAAGTTGGCCTCTAGTGGTTTCTTTGAGGTTGTGTTTAAAAATACAGCTGCTGAAGGCTCGGACTCTAAGCAGGCCAACTCTCCAAGAGCTTCCACTGAGATCAGTGTCCCATAGGGCTGAGTCCCACAGGCATGCATATTACTGGGCATCTTTGGTTCAGACAGACTTGACAAGCCCAGCGTAGGCAGGGCAAGAGGAAGGTCCCCGAAGCGCACACCCCCTCAACTGCAAAGCCCCTGCTTCATCCCTTCTCTTTTCAGAGCAAACCACGATTGGCATTAACGTCGAAACCTTGGCAAGCTGCAAAAATGTGGGGAGGAATGGAGAAGGGGGTCAGCTTTGTGTGTGAGGAGGGAGGAGTTCCAAATCTCCTAACCACAATTAAGGGATCCGGGAACACTTTGCCTGCTTGCTACCGCCCTTACCCACTCTGGTCTGCTACTGAATGTGTGAACGGCATCCCTTAAAAAAGTGTTGTGGGCCATGTCAGCCACTTGAACACCTTGTTCGTGGCCTTAACCCGTCATGACTAGTTCAGGTCATCACTTTATATCATGGTAACAAGCTGGTAAGCATGCCTGTGTGAACTCACCCCCTCGATTTCAGTAAAATTCCCGAGTGTCTGGCTTTTTCTGGGCTGGGTCCAGGCCTCTACCTTCCTGGTAGTAGCACAGACACGACCCTACTTTTCATTGTCTGCAGGAATATGGTGTTAACGGCCATTCCCATGATAACACAGTTGAGAAAATAACTGCCAGTTTGGTGTCGTGGTTGAGTGCGCGGACTCTAATCTGGGAGAATCGGGTTTGATTCCCTACTCCTCCACTTGCACCTGGCTGGATGAACTTGGGCAAGCCGTAGTTCTGATAAGAGCTGTCCTTGAAAAAGAGCAGTTCCTGTCAAGAGCTCTCTCAGCCCCACCTACCCCACAAGGGTGTCTGTTGTGGGGAGGGGAAGGGAAAGGAGTCTGTAAGCTGCTCTGAGACTCCAGGTCGTGAAGGGCAGGGTATAAATCCAATCTCTTCTTCTTCTTGAAAAAGAGCCGTTTCTGTCAGAGCTCTCTCAGCCCCACTACCTCACAGGGGTGTCTGTTGTGGGGAGGAGAAGGGAAAGGAGTTTGTAAGCTGCTCTGAGACACCTTTGGGTAGTGAAGGGCGGGGTATAAATCCGATCTCTTCTTCTTTCCTCTGTATGTGGATGTACAAAATTGCCCCGTGCTGAGTCAGAATTTGGGGCCACCTTACCCAGTGCCGCCTGCTCTGGTTGTCAGTGGGAGGCACAGTAGGATCTTTCCCAGCAGCTACCACCTGAGATCCTTGTTTTTGGACAGGAAGGTCAGAGACCGAACCTGGGACCTTCTTCTCCAACTCAGGATCTCTGTCTGAGCCACTGCATTAAAGGCACTGTGTAGTTCCAAGATTTGAATGATGACAACTAATTTGAGTTGGAGGGTCTGTTTTTTTTTTTTTTAAGATAACGTTGATGTAGCTGATGTGTGATGTAAATAACATGCTTTATTAGAATGTCTAGGTGCTAAGTTAGAGCAGCTGTGAGAGGACTTAAACTCTATCAGTCTGTAGAAAGACAGCCTCAGGTTGGCAGCTAGGAGGTCCACAGAGTCAAGGCAGTGTTCTCCGGTGTTCCAGTCCAGGCCAGAGTTTCCCTAATGCACATAAGGCAGAGGCAGACCTATCGACAGGTATGAGGAAGAGCACAGGTGGGATACAGTTTAGTGTAAGGAGATCCGTGAATAATTGCTGGAATGAATGAAGTGAGAAGCACTGAGTCGTCAAGCACATTATTTTTGCAGCAGTTAAATAAACAAAAGGGACGAATCCTGTTAACCTCTGCGAATTATACTTGGCTGACTCATTCCAAAAAGATTGATTTGATTTGATAAATGAAGGTTCACCTGACAATTATTGGTACAAATTGGTTTGATTGACAACGGACTTGTATTGATGCATACCCATTTGTTTATTTTGCATTCGCTTGTGTAAAAAGGGGTCTTAACATAAGAACATAAGAGAAGCCATGTTGGATCAGGCCAGTGGCCCATCCAGTCAAACACTCTGTTATAGACTGGCCAAAACCCAGGTACCATCAGGAGGTCCACCAGCGGGGCCAGAACTCCAGAAGCCCTCCCACTGTTGCCCCCCAAGCACCAAGAATACAGAGCATTACTGCCCCAGACATAAGAACATCAGAGAAGCCAATGTTGTATCAGGCCAATGGCCCATCCAGTCCAACACTCTGGGTCACACAGTGGTCAAAACTCCAGTGCTATCAGGAGGTCCACCAGTGTGGCCAAAACTCCAGACATTCTCCCACTGTTGCCCCCCCTCCCCCAAGCACCATCACTGCCCCGGACAGAGTGTTCCATCCATACCTTGTGGCTAATAGCCACTGATGAACCTCTGCTCCATATGTTTATCCAGCCTCCTCATAAGAACACAAGGGAAGCCATGTTGGATCAGGCCAGTGTCCCATCCAGTCCAGCACTCTGTCACACAGTAGCCAAAACCCAGGTGCTCTCAGGAGGGCCACCAGAGGGGCCAGAACTCCAGAAGCCCTTCCACTGTGGCCCCCCAGGCACCAAGGATACAGAGCATCCCTTGCCTCAGACATAAGAACATAAGAGGAGCCATGTTGGATCAGGCCAATGGCCCATCCAGCAACACTCTGTGTCATACAGTGGCCAAAAATACCAGGTGCCATCAGGAGGTCCACCACTGGGGCCAGACAGAGTGTTCCATCCATACCTTGTGCCTAATAGCCACTGATGGACCTCCACTCCATATATTTATCCAGTCCCCCTCTTGAAGCTGTCCACATTTGCAGCCACCACCGCTTCCTGTGGCATGTGTTAATTACTCATTGGGTGAAGAAGTACTTGCTTTTATGTGTTCTAAACTGACTGCTCATTAATTTCCTTGAGTGCCCACGAGTTCTTGTATTGTGAGAAAAGGAAAAAAGGGACTTCTTTCACTACATTCTCTATGG